ATGCAGGAATCACACAAATATCTGAAGAATAGATGGATGCAATCCACAAATGAAGCGTTATTTTGAAATGGGGCATGTTACCCAATCAACAAGTTATTTTGAAAAAAAATGAGAAAACGATTTCCAAAGTTTCTCATTTAATCTTTTCTGAAAATGAAATTATTGAAAAGTAAGAAAACGATTTCCAAAGTTTCTTACTTAGTAAACTATTTCCCACATCTGTAAGACCTACAGTGCTTGATGTTTTCAAAACCTCCGGGTCATCCATAAGGCCTACAGTGCAGGATGTTTTCAAAAAGCCTTTGGGAGCTTTTTGATATTTAAAACCTCCGGGTCATCTGTAAGACCTACAGTGCTTGATGTTTTCAAAACCTTCGGGTCATCCATAAGACCTACAGTGCAGGATGTTTTCAAAAAGCCTTCAGGAGCTTTTTGATATTTAAAACCTCAGGGTCATCTGTAAGACCTACAGTGCTTGATGTTTTCAAAACCTTCAGGTCATCCATAAGACCTACAGTGCAGGATGTTTTCAAAAAGCCTTCTTGAGCTTTTTGATATTTAAAACCTCCGGGTCATCTGTAAGACCTATAGTGCAAGATGATAAGACCTCAGGGCCATCCATAAGACCTACAGTGCAAGATGTTTTCAAAAAGCCTTCGGGAGCTTTTTGATATTTAAAGCCTCCGGGTCATCTGTAAGACCTATAGTGCAAGATGATAAGACCGCATGGCCATCCATAGGACCTACAGTGCAAGATGTTTTCAAAAAGCCTTCGGGAGCTTTTTGATGTTTCCAAAGCCTCCGGGTCATCTTTAAGCCTTTCAGTGCATGATGTTTTCAAAGCCTTCGGGTCATCTATAAGCTCTTTAGTGCATGATGTTTTCAAAGCCTTCGGGTCATCTGTAAGACCTACAGTGCAAGATGATAAGACCTCAGGGCCATCCATAAGACCTACAGTGCAGGATGTCTTCAAAAAGCCTTCGGGAGTTTTTTGATATTCAAAATCTTCGGGTCATTTGTAAGCCCTTCAGTGCATGATGTTTTCAAAACCTTCAGGTCATCTGTAAGCCCTTCAGTGCATGATGTGTTCAAAAAGCCTTTGGGAGCTTTTTGATATTCAAAACCTTCGGTTCATCCATAAGACCAACAGTGCAAGATGTTTTCAAATGAGATTTTAAGAAACTGATTTTCAAAGGTTTCTTGATCTTAAATCCTCTGGGTCATCTGTAAGACCTACAGTGCAAGATGATAAGACCTCATGGCCATTCATAAGACCTCTAGGCAGAATGTTTTCAACATTTCCATCCTACTCAAAAGAAGCTAAATGAAAAAATTATTGTATTTTTCGTCTTTGCTCTATTATTGTTAACATAAGAATGAGTAAAGAGGGACAGCTGTAGACACTAATTTTTTCATTTTATTATTATTATTAGTATTATTAATTTTTATTTTTATTATAATAGTAATAATAATAATAATTATTATTATTAATATTATATATTATTATTTAAATAAATACAAGCCCGAGATCCGGAGGCCTGTTTACAAATCCTGGAAGCCCAACCCAATCCAGGCCCAATCAGAACAGACCCAAGCCTAACCCTAAGAATACAGGGTTTGTATCATTTCCAGCTCCAGCCGCCTCAGCTCCACCGTTGGAGCTGGCTTTGATCCAACGACCCAGATGGTTCCAAATGAAATCCTAGGGTATCATCACCCTAGGGCCACGTCGCCGCCTCTGCTGTCTCCACACCGACGTTCCAGCAGCTGCCACCCTCGCCAGAAGCCTCCAGAAGACCCTAACGGCCGTCCACGTCGCAGCTATGGGGTGAGTCACCACTATAATTTGGTGACTCACCGAATTCGACCCTTGTACCCGGTCTGACTAGAGCCTCATCGAGGCTATAAAGCCATCACATACCTGCTAAAGAAAGAAAGAACGGACAGAGAGCAGAAAATAGAGAGGAGAGCAACTAAAACTCAAATACCAAACCAACAAACAACCATTCGAGAAGGAAAAAAATAGATCGAGAGAACTTACCCTCGTCGGAGCCTCCCTACGCCGTTGAAAAACCGAAATACCGAAGGTAACAAGTTTAGATCTAGGCCGATTTAAGCGTTTTTAGGCTAAACAGTCCTTGATTTTGGTTTTAGGGTAAAACAAAGGGTGTTTTGGGGTAAATTTGTAATTTTCGGCCACCATTTAGTGGCGGTCGACGATAGAAGATGGCTGCCAGTCGGTGACCGGAACTCCCTAAGCTGAGGGAAGCTAGAGAGAGGGGTGCCTGTGTAATTTCACACGTAGGAAAACTTTTTTCGCAATCCCTCCAAGTTTGTATCTTTTCAATTTGATCACTGAAATTAATTTCTATACGTTTTAATTCTATTTTTTAATTTTGTTTTATTATAATATAGTCACTGAAATAAATTTTCATATATTTTAATTCAATATTCAAATTTTATTTTATTTTATTTTAGTCTTTGCCTGTATACTTATATATATTTAGGGTAAATATCCTATTTAATCTCTCATAATTTTATTAAATTTTATTTTAAGTCCCGAATAATTTATTAATGTCAAATAATAATATTAATACCTATATTTTAGGATATTTTGAGTCATGGCTATTAAATTTGATAAATTACATTTTAATCGCTAATTTTAATAACTTTCATTTTTACTATAAGTTTTATTATTGTTAATTTCAATCCTATTATTTTAATTTTGTTTATTTTACTCATTATTTAATTTTTTAATTTCAATATGTTTAATTTATTATTTTAAATATTATTTTTTTCGTTTATATATATATAAATAAAAATATTTATTTATTTTAAATATTATGAAAATGGGTGTCTTAACGTAACTAGAAGTCCTATTTCAATATTTTTAAATAAATAAATATCTTAGTATACATATATAATTATTTTAGTTCTATTCAAATTATTATATTTTTTTCATTTTATATTTTAGTCATATTAATATATGTATATTAATAAGTATTATTTAATTAATTTCACTAATTAATTAAATAATATTTATTTATTTTTAATTACTAAGAAAATGCGATCTTAAAATAACTAGACGTCTTATTCTGGTACTTTAAAAAATAAATAAATATCTTGCTTATAAATGTATATATATTTACTTAGTTTTTATTATTTTTAAGGAAATTATTATATTCTTATTAATATTTATTTATTTATTTATTTATTAATATTAAAGAAAATGCAGTCTTAAAGCAACTAGATGTCATTTTCTGATATTTTTAAATAAATAAATGTCCTATTTACAAAACCCTTTAATATTTTTTCCCTAGAAATATCAGATTAAATTTGAAATAACACGATTGTAAATTAAATTCATATTCGAATTCTTAAATTCACTATTAGAGACAGTTTATAATCGACAGAGACTAATTTTGGGCGTTGTGGGGGTGCTAATCCTTCCCCAAACGTAACCGACCACAAATCCCTTTTTATTAAAAAGAACAAATTTTTGGTTAAACACAAACCAGTTTATCTTTTAATTGATGTTTTCTTAAAAACTCTTTTAAAAGATGATTTTTAGGTATTCGACCTACATAACCCAAAAGGTCGATGGCGACTCCCAAAACATTTCAATAAAAACCATTTATTTATTCCCATTACTTTTCCCGACAAGTAAAATTTCGTGCCCGGATGAAAACCGGTACGACAGTTGCGATATGAAATGTTAATTTTTTTTGTAATAAAATCGGTTACGCCTAAAATGTTATCGAATTTTAAGCTCATGGGGCCTTAGACATTCTCATCCGTTAAAAGCTGAAAATATTATGATTATCTATAAAAAAAAATTTGGTTGTGCTTAAGAATTTTATAGTTCACTAAGAAAATAGGTTGTGATCTAAAATGTTAATATTTTTATTATAAAAAATAAAAATATTGATATTGATATTTTCCCACAAGTATAGATACTTTCAAATTAAAAAGAACATGGAAAATGAGAATACCACATAGTATCTATAATTTTCCAAGGGTATCGATACTTTCGAATTTTAAAAAAACATGGAAAATGAGAACACTGCAAAGTATCGATATTTTTCCACAAATTTCGATGCTTTCGAATTTAAAAAAAATCATGGAAAATGAGAATATAACAAAATATCAAACATTTTTGCAAATATCAGAGCATAAGTGTCGAATATCATAATATATCGATCGATACTTTGCAGCCTTCTTGTTTTCTATTTTTTAAATTCAAAAGTATCGATATTTGTGAAAAAGTATGAATACTTTTGAATTTATTACAAAGAAAATTAACATATCATATCACAATCTATTTTCTTAGTGAACTATGACATTCTTATGTGCAATCAATTTTTTTTTATAAATATTCATAACATTTTCAAATTTTAACTTATTTTGTTATCTTGAGAAAATCTAAAGTTCCATTAGCTTAAATTCTATTAACATTTTAAGTGCAATCTAAAATGTTAATAATATTAATAACAATCATTGTTTATAACTTATTTTCCTACTATTTATAATTTTATATCATTTGACGTAATTTAAAATGTTAAAATATTCATAACATTTATGATTTAGAACTTATTTTATTATTATTTATAATAATTTAGGCGCAACCTATTATATTACTACGATCGATATCTTTTCCAATTTTGTATTATAACATTTTGTGTTCAATTTTTAACCTATTAGCTTTTTTAACCGACAACTCATTAACCTTATTTTAGGATCCTCATAACTCCCGTTCGAGTATTAGTTGATTTTGGGTAAAAAGTGATGGAGACTACTTCCCAGTCCCACCTTAAATTATATGGTAAAAGAATTGGCATTTAGCCATTTAGGCATAACATCCAAAACATACAAACGGAACTCATGGTGATTTTCGGCACAAACACTGAACACAGCATTGTTTATTGGAAAAACAATAACGTTAAATAATCAACTTAAGCCTAAAAACTAAATAGACAAATGCCAAAAGAAATTACTTTTGATTGAGCAAAATATAATCTAATATCGGTTCCAGTAGGTACGGCGTCTGAACCAGTTGTAGTCTGGCAAATCCTGGATGGGGCCAATCGCAGAGATCGCCATATCCTGCAGCATAAAACCACTATTACATTCTTTATATCTTTCAATTTCAATCTCTCATCCGTTTGAACAGATTCACTTCTTACCCTGTCGTATACAAATCGGTTCGCAACTCGTTTAACGGTGCTTGGATCGACAGCATCAATCCTAGCAAATAATTCCACAAATGGGATTCTCCGTCCGTATGTAAGTAGCTGCATATCGAAGATCAAGCCAGAAAAAAAATATAGTTGCAACTGTTACGAGTCATAGATGATCAAGTACGACCACAACATGTCGCACAACATGATCGCAAAATGCACCAATCCAAAAGATAAGACTGCTCTCATGCAGCACCGGAAATGTACCTGGCGTCCGATGTCTTCAGCTATGGGACTAGGCCCATCTGTATGAAGCATCAAGGATGACTTCAACTGCAGAAATGAAAAGTATTTGAGCAAATGGAAGAATAGACGAGTTAATTTATAGAACGTGAAGAAAAGATGACAGTAATTGCAGCTACCTGATTACGAGCACGAATCACATCATCTTCTGAAACTCGATAAGCCAACTTGGTTATCGCGGACATAATAGCAAATGATAAATCCCCCAAACAATCGGGCTGAGAAAAGAACAGAAAACATAATTGATACACATGAATAACCAGATACAATACTTATGGTGACATCAAGAATATGACAAATTGGGTTTTGTTGTTGGTCTTGCATCAGCTTTTGTACGGATCATAACGAAAGATTAGAGCAAGGGGTAAGCAAACCTCACCTTTGCAACAGCATAGACACCGAAAAGACCGGTATCTTTATAGTTGGTACTGAAAGCCATCATGCTTTCTGCAATTCCATTTATGCTAACTCTTTGTGCCAGCTCGGAGCTATTTAAAGGATTTTCGGAACTAATCAAGACATTGTTGCAACAGAAGAGTCTCGGAGTTTAAAATGCAATTCGAGTTGAGGAAAAAGCTCACCCCATGTGCTTTCCACCCCCAGCGTTTTTGTTCCATGACCCCAGCATCTCCTGCATAACCGTTAGCGCAATGGAATCCGGATCTGTCGAAGATGTTGCCTCAAAAGCAATGGCGAATTTTGCTAGGGGAACATAGTCATTGATAATTCTAACCTGGTTTTTTTTCAGAATTATAAAGATAAAACAGGCCATTGAAAGTTAATATTACTGAATGAAAAGGGGAAAAAATAGCACCCCTACCTCAGAACCTGTAAAACTAGCTGGTTCTTTTGCAACTAACTGAGTAGCAGTGGTCGAATCCGATGACAACCTCGTAAAAGACTTCTTCGCTTGCTCGACAATCTCATTGTGCTTAACTGCTCCGGATGCAGCAAGGACCTGCAAAATTTACCGAAAAGAACACATTTATACGTACCTACAATCCGACCGAATCACGACACATTCATCGATTTTAAGGACACTTGACCATTGCATACCATTCGAGGAGTAGTGTAGTGTGTCTGAATATACTGCTGCAAATGCTCTTTGGTGATCGTCCTGATATTATCGATTTGTCCATGAATGTTTCTTCCTAGAGGAGTGAATTGGAAAGCAGTTGAATGCAGATGATTGAAAACATCTTCCTCTGTATGTCCTTCGGCCTATATCATTTACCAAAATAATTGCCTTTTCATGAATAAAATCGAAGGTTAAAAATATAATAAAATCTGCCATAGTAGTCGGGACCACTTGTGTACCTTCAGCTAAAATCAACTGGAAAAGCCAGAACAACATGATCTAATTAAGAGATTATCTTAAAAACTTTATGAATTACTACCTGCAGTTCCCTTAGGATCAAATCCCTTTCTTTAATAATGCAACGTTCTTCGAACTTGGAATTCTGCAAAATATCAGCCAAAATGTCCACGGCTTTAAGGACATCCTTGCTCATAACTTTGGCATGAATAGCCGTTTGTTCCCTCGAAGTGTGAGCTTTCAAATGGCCTCCCATATTCTCAATCTCCTCTCCCAACCTCTTCGCGCATCTCTTCTCCGTCCCTTTGAATATCATATGCTCCAAGAAGTGCGCCGTCCCGTTCGTTTCGTCGGACTCGTATCTCGACCCGGCGTCGATCCACACCCCGACGCTGGCCGTCTGAGAATTCGAGGTGGATTCCGTGGCAACTCGAAGGCCGTTGGGCAGTGTTGTGATTCTGGTTTCGGGTCGAGATAGGATGTGGGTGTGGGAGGTTTGGGTCGGATGAGGGGATCCGTATTTGAGGAAACGGGTATCCGGGTTCTCGAGTTTTCGGAGCTTTGATTTGAGGGAATGGGCAATCCGGTCGTATATCATGGCGGTTGGTGGAGGAGGATTGATGAACTCCTCGGCATTGGAGGAAGACGATCTGACGACGGTGAAAAAAGAAGAGGAGGGCTTGTGGGACCCGCGAGCTCGAGAGAGAAGCTGTTTGATCGCCATTTTTGATGGATTTTATTGGAAAAATTGGGGTTTGTGGGAGAATTTTAAGAATTTAGAGATTGAGGACTTGGCTTTAAATCCCTGTAACGACGCCTACTAAAGGCGAAAAAGATGAATTCTTGCTAACTACTTTGACGATTTAAACTCAAAAAATCAATGTGTTTTGGGTTTTAGAATATCAACTGCATATTGTCAGAGATGATGACAAATGTAAATTTTTCAAAAGAAAATATGATTATGATTATGAACACTATGTTTTTATAAATAAAACAAATGCAACTTCAATTTACTAAGAGGGCAAAATTGTAGAACAATACTCCATTAGTACCTTTGTTCTTCCAAAAGGCAAAAAAAAAAAAAAAAAAAAAAATTGCAGAACAAGACTTCCTTGGGTTTCTGATGTACAAATTCCTTACAAAAATTATATTCAAAAGATTATTTATCATGGAGTCTGGAGTTCAGCACTTTGTCCTCTAATGTTGTGGCATATGGAAATTTGGCTCCCTGGAATAGTTGGATTCTTTAAGGACCTTCAAAGAACCATGCAAAATAACCATGTCATCATGAAAAATTTGACAGAAATTTCGATATCAATCTCTTTATCTCTTCTTCTTCTTTTTTATAAATCCCACAGTTTTATATAATTTTGAACTTTTTACCTTCTGGAAAGAAAGGCCTGTCGAAGAAAGGCGTAGGCAGTGCTTTGGGAACCAGCTCTTTTCTCAACCTCTTTATCTCTTCTTCTTCTGCCATCTACAACATCAAAAAGATCAATCTTTTCCTTTAAAAATCATGCATTCTTCTGATAATTTTCTTTCCCTTATCCTGCCTAGCCCTTTACATTTTATACTGTTCGATTAAACTCTTTTTCTCGGCTACTTGATGATCGAACTCTGAACGCTCTGATGCTCGAATGTCGGAGCACAATCTTGGGTCTACCTGTTAGATTTGGCTTGCAAATTGTCTAATTTGGCAATTGTTAGGTTTAGCTTGTAAATTGTCAAATTTGGTAAGTTGGCAAAGTTGACAAGTTGACAAGTTGATTGATGGCTAGTTTGTACAGATTGAAAAATTCTTTGGTAGGTTGCCAAACTTTTGCACATGAGAATTTCATATTTGGTCCTTAAACTATTAGGTTATTTATAAGTTTAGTCCTTAAAACTCAACTATAAATAGGCCTAAGTATTTCATTAGAAATCATCCAAAAACAAGTTTTCTCTTCCTCTTGTTTTCTTCATTCTCTCACTTTGGGATTTCTAAAGAATTACATTTGTTGTAATATTTGTTGATAGTGAAGTTATCATCCGGTGTGGTGACCGAGGAGTAGACGATATTCTCGTCGAAGCTCGTAAATTAGTGTGTTCTCTCCTTTATTATTCTTTATTCGATTTTTTATTGTATTTCAATATTCAATAGTTTGACGGGTTTGTCCGCTGTGCAACCTTTGGTGGTTTTGATCTTGACATTTAGGTCAATTTTAAAACTACATTCGTGTGGGAAATAATCCGGTTTCCCCAATAATTGGTATCTAGAGCTTCGGTTGAGGTTATCCTGGTGGTCCCGTTACTGAAAAGATACAGTTCGTGCTATTGAATATTGTTCGTTAGAATTAAAATGCCAAAATACGGATCAGTTGAGACATCAAGCTCTTCATCTGGACTGGTGAGGAGGATGATGTCAAATGCAAATTTCTCGATGGAGTTGTTCGGGGGATCCGATCATTTTGGCATGTGGCAAGGCGAGGTGTTAGACGCTTTATTCCAACAAGGTCTAGTCATCGCCATTGAGGAAGAAAAACCCGAATATATGGAGAAGAAAGAATGGTAAACAATCAATCGTTTGGCGTGCAACACGATTCAATCTTGTATTTCCAAGGAGCAGAAGTATGGCTTCAAGAACGAGACTTCTGCAAGTAAGATGTGAAAAGCATTAGAGGAAAATTCCTAAAGAAAAGCTCTCAGAATTGTCTCCACATGAAGAAAAGATTGTTCAGATTTGATTATCAACCAGGCACCAGTATGAATGAACACATCACTGCGTTAAGTGAACTAGTGGAAGACTTATTGGGCATGGATAAAACCTTCAAAGATGAAGATTTGGCTTTGATGTTGTTGTCATCTCTTCTAGATGAATTTGAGCACCTTGAGACAACGTTACTTCATGGTAAGACTAATGTTACCTTTAAAGATGTAACTGTTGCTTTGTTTAGTTATGAGCTCAGAAAGAAAACCAAGAACGAGAGCAAGTACGAAGCAGCGGAGGCCATGGTGGCAAGAGGTTGCTCGAAAAGTCAAAAGCCAAAGTGGAGAGGGAGATCAAAGTCGAAGTCCAGACTGGGAAAAGATGAATGTACCTTTTTTCATGAGAAAGGCCATTGAAAGAAAGATTGTCCGAAGCTGAAGAAGAAAGGAAAAGCTGCTCCAGATACATGTGTTGCAGAGCATGATGCAAATGACCTTGACATATCATTGGTTGCTTCATCAACAACATTCTATTCAGATGAGTGAATATTAGATTCGGGTTGTACCTATCATATGTCCCTTAATCGGGAGTGGTTCTCAGATTTAGCAGAACTAAATGGAGGAGTTGTTTATATGGACAATGACAATGCCTGTAAAACTGTTGGGATAGGTTCAATTCGATTAAAGAATCAAGATGGATCAACTAGAGGTCTGACAGATGTCCGATACGTGCCCAGTTTGAAGAAAAATCTCATCTCGTTGGGAGCCTTAGAATCCAAAGGCTCAGTAGTCACTATGATAGATGGAGTTTTAAAAGTTACATCTGGCACACTTGTCATGATGAAGGGCATCAAGAAAAATAATTTGTATTACTACCAAGGTAGTACAATTATTGGAGCAGTTGCAACAGCTTCTGGAGGCGATGATTTGGACACAACCCAGTTGTGCAATATGCGGTTAGACATACTGGAGATAAATCCTTGCATATTCTGACAAAGAAAGGATTGTTCAAAGGTGCAAAGACTTGCAAATTGAACTTTTGCGAGCATTGTGTTCTGAGAAAGCAGAAGAAAGTGAAGTTTGACACCACTATACATAATACAAAAGGTATTGTGGATTATATTCACTCTGATGTATAGGGTCCTTCAAAGACATCGTCTTTGGGAGGAAACCATTATTTTGTAACTTTTGTAGATGACTTTTCCATAAAAGTTTGGGTATATCCGATGAAGTCTAAAGATGAAGGGCTTCAAATTTTCCTTAAATGGAAAATTATGATCGAGAACCAGACTGGTAGAAAGATCAAACGTCTTAGGACGGACAATGAAGGGGAATATAAAAGTGACACATTCTTTGACGTTTTCCTTGAGTATGGTATTGTTTGACACTTCACTGTTAGAAACACACCACAATAGAATGAGGTGGTAGAGCGTATGAATCAAACACTATTGGAGAAAGTTCAATGTATGTTGTCTAATGCTGGGTTAAGTAAGGCATTTTGGGCTGAGGCCATATGTTGGCCATCTCATCAATCGTCTTCCATCATCAGCGATAGGAGGAAAAACACCATTGAATGTATGGTCTGGAAAACCTACTACTGATTATGATTCTTTACATGTATCTGAATCCACTGATTATTATCATGTGAAGGAATCCAAGCTTGATCAGAGAGCAAAGAAGGCTCTCTTTATGGGAATCACCCATGGAGTGAAGGGATTTCTCCTTTGGTTTAGACACCAAGAAGATAATTTGTAGTAGAGATGTTATCTTTGATGAATATGCCCTAGTAAAGAACGTAACAAATGAACCTGTCCAGACAAGTAGTACTCCACAGTAGGTGGAGCATACTCCAAAACAGGTAGAGTTTCAGTAGACGATGATCCCAGAAGTTGATGCAACTGATTCTTCAACTCTAATAGAAGAATCAGAAGATGAAGAGGTTCAAACCCAAGAACCACTGGAGACACCAGAACCACTTGCAGTTACAAGGACAAGGAGAGAAATTCGTAGACCTGCTCGATTTGTTGATATGGTGGCCTATGTTCTTCCAGTTGTTGATGATGATATCTTTATCACTTACCAAGAAGCAATACAAAGCTTGGAAAGTGATAAGTTGAAAAGTGACATGGATGAAGAAATGCAATCTCTTTAAAATAACAACACTTGGAAACTAGTACAATTACCGAAACGTAAAAGAGTAATTGGATGCAAGTGGGTATTTGCAAAGAAAGATGGATCTCATAGAAAGAAAGATGTTCTCTACAAGGCAAGGTTGGTAGCTAAAGGCTACGCTCAAAAGGAGGGAATCAACTACAATGAAGTATTTTTCCCTGTTGTGAACCATTCCTCCATTAGAATATTGTTGGCCTTGGTAGCACAGTTGAATTTGGAGCTAGCTCAACTTGATGTAAAGACGACTTTCTTGCACGGTGATTTAGAAGAGGAGATCTATATGACTAAGCCAGAAGGATACAAAGATGGTGGTTATGAGAAATGGGTTTGTAAGCTGAACAAATCGCTATATGGATTGAAGCAATCTCTGAGGCAGTGGTACAAGCGATTTGATAGCTTTATGAGGAGGAAAAAGTACACTAGAAACAATATGATCATTGTGTGTATTTGCAAAAGCTTAACTATAGATATTTTATTTATCTTCTCTTGTACGTTGACGATATGTTGATCGCTTCGAAGAGTCAAAAGGAGATAGACAAATTAAAGGCTTAGTTGAATCATGAGTTTAAGATGAAAGATCTAGGTGAGGCCAAGAAGATTCTCGGTATGGATATAAGCAGAGATAGACAGAGAATAAAGCTTTGTTTAATACAGAAACAATATCTAAGAAAGGTATTACAATGTTTTGGCATGAATGAAAATACCAAACATGTAAGTATCCCACTAACTTCTCATTTGAAACTTATTTCTCATTTATCTCCTAAAATTAACGAAGAACGAGAGTAGATGGCAAAAGTTCCATATGCTAATGCAGTTGGGAGCTTGATGTATGCAATGGTGTGTACGCGTCTTGACATTTCACAAGCAATTGGAGTTGTGAGCAGGTACATGCATGATCTTGGAGAAGGACATTGGCAAGCTGTGAAATGGATTCTACGGTATCTCCAACAAACCGTGGATATTGGTTTAGTTTTTGAATAGGATAAAACACTTGGTCAGTGTGTGGTTGGATATGT